AGCAAGACCATGCTCTGCTCAGCTGGGATTTGAGCCGGTGCCTCTCATGCCAGACTCTGTCTTGATGGGAAGAGCCACTTGCAATAGCTGTAATTTTGTTTAGGGCACCTGTTCCTTTGTGTGTGCCAATGGAGTGGGCTGGTTCAGTGGTAGCAGTCGGTGCTGGGTCTTAAACCATTTTCACACAGACATTCTGTGGTATTTGGACTGAAAAGGGTTTTCTTCTTTTTCTTTCTAGAAAGTTGTTTGTATGCAGAGAATGCTGAGAGATCTGCCTTCTGCTTTAGCTCAGTTTGTCATAATATCTACCTAGACCAAAAGGATTTTAGCCTTAATTTAATACATTCTGTTGAATGTTTTTGCTCCCCAGACCCTGTATTAGATTGCTCCAGCATCTCACTCCTTTAGTGGTGAAGGACCTACTAATTTCCAGCCTAAATTTATTCGTGGCCAGTTTATACCCATTTGTTCTTGTGTCAACATTGTCCTTTAGTTTAAATTGCTTCTTTGCCTTCCTAGTGTTTATCCTCCTGATGTATTTATAGACAGTAATCATATCTGCTATCAGCCTTCATTTTGCTAGACTAAACAAGCCAAGCTCTTCTGAGCTCTTCTCCGGTGATGGGCTCTTCACTGCCAGCACCTGGTTGGATCCGGGTTGCTCAGCAGCGAGTAGAAGGGCTTGGATTGCTCCCAGCATCCCGATGAGCCCCCAGTGCTTGGCACAAGGATTTAGGAGTGCCATATCTGCAGTGCTGATACTGCACACAGTGAGTTTGCCGACGGCGTTTGTGTCTTGCTCGGCAGCAGGGAGCTGGTGGGCCATGGGGATAGTTCTCCTCTCCCATGTCCAATAAATCAACTTCCAGAAAAGTTTTGTTATTGGTCCCTTGCTGCATTATCCTGTATTTTGTGCTATTAAATCACATCTTGTTTCTGTCACCTAATTGTCAGGTTACCCTTCTTCCAAGCTGTCATTCCTCCTGTACAGGGCACTAATATCTTTTTAACTGAGCCCTTGACCAACTTCCTATTAACCAGCTTAACCGATTTCTTCAACTAATTCCCATCCTCTCTAGTTTAGCTGATGTATTTCTTCGAGGCACTGTATCAGATGATTGACAGAAGAGCAGACAGATTAGATCTGCCACAGTTCCTTTAATTATTCCTTCCTTCATAATTTTTCCTTCAAGAACCCTTCTTAGTTTTTAGGTCAGACTAAAAGCTCTGCACTTATCAAGATGAGGTCTTTTTTTCCTTGGCTTAAGTAGAAGCAGCACATTTACTTTGCTGTAGCACGAAGATTTGTTAGATTTATTAAAAATACTGGCCACAGGACTTCCTACAGGCTTCAGGGGGGTTTAGTCTAGACCCCCTTGGGGCAGAGTCTCATTTCCTTAGTTCCACAGCATCAGTCTCAGAGCAAACATATAGCAAATGTTAGGACCATTTTGGTTTACCTCTATGCTGTAGTTTCTGCCCTGCGCTGTTTAAAATGTCATTTTTGTAAAGAAAGAGAATGGGAGAATTATTCTGTATTACCAAAATGCCATCAAGAAAATGTCTCTCGTGCTCGGGGGCATGAGGCTGCCTTTTTTTTTTTTTTAATAGTCGTAACAATAATAATGCTATTAGGACAACAAACTAAGATGCCCCTGGAGATGATGTGACAAATTGGAAGGACATGCTGAAATTGAAATTGATTGAATAGTTCAATAAAATCAGCTTAATGCACAAAAGCAAAAAGATTAGCTACAGAAAAACAAAAAAATCAGTAATTTGTTATCTGCTGGGGCCAATCTCACTGGAGATTGAATTAGTTATAAACTGAAACTAGGTACTTGAAAGGAGCACCCTTATATATCCACAGTGCTGGAGCCTTTCGGATGGAACTGGATGTGGGTGGCAACCATGAGCCTGAAGGCTTGGCAGATCTCAGACTATTTCCATTTGGTGGACTTAGCAGTGTTGGCTTTATGGCTGGACTCAATGATCTTAAAGGTGTTTTCCACCCTAAATGTTTCTGTGGTTTCTTACGTCTGAGTTTTTTACAACATTTGTGTACCAACCAAGGCCATACTCCATGTCAGATTCCACTTTTGCTCTAAACACAGTAGTTCTGTCTTCAGCTGATGGAAATCAGTGCAACTTTGGTGATACCTCTAAGATTCCACCAACAGCTCACTTCTGGTGTGTTACCTGCTGGCTGCAGCTGCCTCTGGTATCCTGGGATGCAGGTCCCATCTCCAGCGTGTGCACTCCCATCCTGGTCCTACCTGATCACTCCATCCATTTGAGATCTGCTGTAATTCCTCACATTTTCTCACCAGGCTTGGGCTCCCTGCACTTGCTGCACAAGTGCTCTGCTCCTTTGCCATCCTTCCCCTCTTCCCATCCTTCTGCACCCACTCTTTGTGACTGGTACATTTGCACATTACTAAATTCCTGTAATTTTCCTTTTTTGTTTTGCTGTTGTATGATCTGATTGATATCATCTGGCTTTTAAACTTCTTTAATCTGGTGTTCTGGATTTATGTGGGGTTTTTTATTGGCACTGTGCTACAGAGCTCAGTGAATAGCATTTTGTTAAATAAAACAACTCTGTTGTAAACCTGAGGTCTGTGAGTACACGCACGCACATGTCATCAGTGTGTGTAATTTAATAAGCAGCAAAATGGAGAAGTAAACCAAACTTAAACGAGACTTTCTACTTCCTTGCCATCTCTTGAGAGGATTCATTTTCTAAGGGAAGTGCTGGTTGAGCAGCTGAAAGGAGCTGGAGGGGGTGGGAGTTGTGCAGGCTGGTCCCAGGATGAGTAAGAGCTGTGCAGACGGAGTGTGACCTTACCCAAGATCTGTGGTGTATTTCTCCGAGTTCAGACTGAAGTTTGCATAACACAGTCTCAGGTTTTAGAAGTGCTTTTGACACAAACAGGGCTGCCTTTGCCATGCCCTCACTGGGGGCTCAGTGGTGGGCTCACGTGGGAGCAGGACTTGGGAGACACATGGAAAAATGGTGATATGCCAGGGTAAGAAGCACTTGCTGATGGGAGCTGTTCCATCACACTCTCAGCTGATAGAAAAGAAGGAACATTTTTTTCCTGCAATTGCTGCCAAAGGACTGAGGCTTTGACAATAACCTGTGACAACCACCCTGTCAGGTCAGAAGCAGTCTGGGGTCTCTCTCACTGCAGCCAGGAACATTAGAGGTGGCTTTTCCATTTAAATGCACTGTTGAAATGAGTTTCTCATGTGGGCCTCCAGCCTGTTTTTCTAATTTTTGTGAAACCTGATTGCTGCTATTTTTTTAAATATCTTCCTCTGTTATATGGTTTAAACCTAATTTGGCTCACAAGTATTTGGCCTGTTAGGGAATACTTCCATCAACCTCCCAAGTTGTCATAAGGGAGAATAAGGAAGGAAAAGCTAAATATGAAATAGAAATTACGTTCTCTAATAAGGACATTTCAGCCTTAGCCAGTGCTTTACAAATGGAGCAATGAACAGCACCTTCTTGCATGAGGCAAAACAAGGGCTAACAATAGTTTCTCCCTCATGTTTTATTATACAAGGTAGGAAGAGATAATGAAAGTGCATTTCCATAATATATTCCAGTTGCAAGGTGCTGATGGATCCCTGAGTGTGATGCCATGTCAATTTAGCAGGTCAATTAAAAGTCCTGAAATCAAGATAAAGCTGAAATTCAGATCTCTTATTCTGGCAACTCAGAAGAATTAAAGAATTGAGCCAATTACAGCACTTTGAGAATGTTTGCATGGGAATAGAGAGACCTAATTGACCTAATTCTTGCCCTTTGAAATTCCAGAGGACATCTGACATTTTACACACACCCATAGCGAGGGCACCTGGAGGGAGCAGCCCCGAGTACCTGAGCTGTGTTCTGAGAGCAGGAGCAGTCCAGCACGTGGCTGGTCTCTTCTTGCATCAAAGTCCCTCCACTTGACTTTACAAAAAGCTTTTCCTGCACAGAGTTGTGCCTCCACTTGGTTTACACACCTTTTGGTTTTGGCTGGATCCCTCCCTGTTTCTCGGCACATCCCTTTGCCCATAATTCAAGAGAGGAGCTTTGCTTTCCTGTCTGCCTGTAAAGTGCTCGGTGAGCAAGACACACATAGAGATCAATGGTAAATTCTACAGATCCAGATGAAAATTCATTGTTAAGGACAGTTTTACAGATTAGGAGACTTTTCTCAGTGCAGACAGATATTCCCAAGTAAAGAGACATCCCAGGGAGATGTATCCACATGCAAGATCAGATGGCTTCTCCTGTTTTATTCAGGTTTATTTTCCAGTTGCATTGACGTACAGCATCTTTTAGAACTTCACTGTGTGATTTTTATGGCTGGCTCTGTGAAGCTTTTTCTTTGAAAGCCTTGTTGTAGGGGATGCTCAGGAATTTAAATAAGTTCCACTGAACTTCTGTTTGTTGCACTGAATTATTTTTTTCTTCCATACTGGACTTAAATTCTCCTTATTTACCAAGATTGTGTTAAGGATTGAAACATGGAGAACATTTTAAGTATCAAAATGCTTTGTGGGCATCAAACTGTTTGAGCAGAACAAGCTGAAAGGCCACCAGGCAATATTGATGTCAGTTTTGGGGGTATAATGTTCTTAGCAAAGTTTTCAGTGAGAACATATACACAAAACTTTTACTGGTTTCCAGAAGAGAGAGACTAATGTTGGTGAAATGCTTAAAAATTAATAAACACTTGAGTTTCAAGCAAGGAATTTCGCCCATAAGATTTTTTATTTACCCATAAAGCAGGTGATGTCCACCAATATATGCAAAAATCCTTTCTAATGTGATAGAAAATTTTATCTGCCTTTTTTTTTACCAACATTTTTTATGCAATTATCTCTTTAGAGTCTGCCTAAAGATCACACTTGTATATGGAAAATAAACCAAAGCATTTTACAGGACACGGGTTTTTTTCTCATCTTTTCCTTTTCTTTCTTTCTTTATTTTTTTTTTCCAGAAAGTTCAGCAGTATATAGTCATTGTTCAAGCCACAGATATGGAAGGAAATCTTAACTATGGTCTCTCAAACACAGCAACAGCGATCATTACGGTGACAGATGTGAATGACAACCCCCCTGAATTCACCACCAGCACTGTAAGTATCAATCCCTCGGCACGGGGACACACGGACACACAGCGTGTTTGTAATTCATGGATGTTGATACCCACTGTCTCTCTTGGCTGGTTTGGGCAGATAGGAGGAACTTTGATGGATAACTGTGGAACAAAGTCTTTCAGTGGAGGAAAAGGAGGAAAAAAGGGAAAAGGAAAAGAAGGTTGATTCATGAACCAGCAAAACTGTTGGGTGACCGATTTCTCCAAGGTACTAAAGGAGCTGAAATAACGTGGCAAACAGACCATGTCTGATTGCATGGAAGAGGATGCAGTTGTTTCTCAGCAACTGGCTGTAGACATATCAGAGTTATCAGTACTTATGAGTGAGAACCTAGCAGTAGGAGGTATTTGGGGTTTATAGCTGGGATATGATTTCAAGGAGGCAGTAAGTGCTCTAAACGGTAAAAGGTAACTGGTAAAATTTGTATTTCCCTGATAGCTCTAACAGATGTATTTGTGTGTGCTGGCAGTAAATGTGTAGACATTCTTCAGTACATCTGGTCTTAATCAGTTAAAGATTTTACTTATATTAGCACAGTTCTTTCTCTATTCTGTTCTCATGTGCTCCAGGATATTACTGGGAGGCAAGGGGAAAAAAGTAAAGAGATGCAGATGACAAATTTTTAGTGCTGTTTACTGTAAAAATCAAGGATTGAAAGGTGAAATGATGTGGTCTGGTTTATTCCAGCCTTAATAATCCATAGATGTAGAACATCTGAAATGTGCATAGTAATTTTAGAAATCACAGAGCAGTGCAGAGGTCTAGATGCTAATAAAATGAGAAATCCTTGTGCATCCCCATCTGTATTCATATGAGGGTCAACAAGGAGCACTAAATGATGTATCTTAAATGAGCACCAAATCCTTACAAATACAGAAAGTCTAACTGCATTGTGCTCAAACCACTGAGCATCCTTTGAGGAATGTTTTTATTATTTATATTATTCTGAATTTTCATTACATCTTAAAGGGTCTCTAAATATTTATTAATGTAGTACCAAAGTTTCTCCTTAGTGATACCCTTACAAACTGCAAATATGTAGCAGAGCTCAAGATCATGGAGAGCCCACTTTATACCCTCGTGGACCCAGATTAGTTCCATGCCAGCTATGGAGTCTGGTCCTTCCCTCCCATCGCCATCAGGAGCTGGGCTGCTCAGCTCCCAAGCAGTGCCAGAATTTTCTGACCAAGTGACTTGGACCTGGATTCTCAGAAGAAAGGCACTGAATTCCCCCTGAGTCACAGTAATGTGGGCACCCAGCATGTTTTCAGGTCTGGGCATCAATCTGCAGGCTGTGCTGCTGCTCCAGCAAGGGCAGGGCGGGTGTAACACCACATGTGTGCTTTCTATCCACCGTGGATACACCATGCTTTGTGCTGTAAAGTTGTGATTCAAGATCTCCTTCAGGATGATACATACAGTTATGAAGAGCCATACAAATCTGGCACAGGTCATGGGCTGTGTGGTCCTTTCTCCTGTCAGGACAGGGTTGTTCTCTCTGGAAAGCTGCCACTCATAGAGAAATTTGTATCTGTGGGGCCATGGGACCTCGCACCACAGCAGAAGAGGGGCCCACAGCTCCTTAGTGTGTGGTGGGGACCTTATTCTGCCAGGTAAATTCTTCTTTACCCTCCATTTGAGTGAAAAAGGAATGACATCTAGTGGCCACATCACTTCAGCACAGGTTGTTCAGATGACCCAGGTTGCCTGGTCCTTGTCTCCAGATGCAAGTTGGAAGGTGAGGTTTTGGGAGTAGGATGAACTGTGTCAGGGTTAGTTGCATGAGCATGAGTGCCTTCGGGAGGGCAGCATCCCTCCAGATGTGGCATATTTTAATGGCTTTCCAAAACACTTTCCAAAGCTGAATCTGCTGGAAGGTGGGATAACGGAAATTTGCTTTCAGGTGAATTCTGAGTATTTAATGTCTCGATGTGTGTTAAACCTAGAAGGAATAAAAACCATCAAGAGAATTACCCATAGAATTGTGGTAAATGGATTAGAAAATGCTGCTCTTGCTCTAAGCAGAGTTGATGTGTACCATTATTTCTCTAATTTCAATCACCGAAGAAAGAGTTTTGTAAGGGCCAAAGGGCTTTACACAGTAGCACATGGGACTTCTTTATGAAGATTTGAAAACCAAGGGTGTTTTACAATAATACTTTCTGATTCTATGGCAACAAATATCTTTGATATACTCCTGGGTATAGTCAGGATGAATTCCGTGTGAGCATGAAAGTATAATATGGTTTTTCCCTTACTGGCAGAGAGAACAGCATCAGGCTGATCAGTCTCTTTAAACCTCAGCTGAATCTCCTTGCTGTCCTCAAATAGTCTGATCTGCATTTTAACACCTCTAAAAAAGTAGCAAAAATTGCTTTCCAGGAAATCTACAGCTCCTCAGAGGGTAAGGAAGCCCATGGTCTCTTTTAAGTCTGTGGGCTGTTTGGAGAGATACCGTGTATTTTTCTTTTAAATACTTGTATTGAGATGCTGTTGTAAAAACAAAATAAGCTGAATAACTGAAAGTGTGGCTTGCTCTTGGAAAGCTGCCAGATGAGGGGAACTCAGGAACTGCATTCATCCCAGACAGATACAAAGGCCCACCCTATAGCGCTCCTAAATTACCTGTCATTCAGCCAGGGTGGTTTTAAACTTAATCGTTTCTGGATAGGAATGTAGCTCAGGAGGACACTGCACCATGCTGGTGTCACAGCTCATGTATTCAGCAGCAGGAATTAATGTTGCTGTGTAAAATTTAACAACGGGATGGGAGAGAAGAAAACAGCCACTGCAGTGGCCGAGAAAGTCAGGTCACGTCTGTAGTCGAGCACACAGTGCAGGGGGGAAGGGACTGAGTGTATGGACCCTGTGGAAGTTCAGACAGGCATAGATATGCCAAAATGACACGTCCACTGGAGTGGGTGACCTGCAGACATCCAAAATACCTAATGGGCTGTCATCAAAATGTAGTGCTAGGTGAGAAGTGGAAAAAGAGCAATAAAATCACACAGAAGATCCGTAAAGGCACAGAATGAAGATACTCCAGTAAAACTCCAAAATGCTTGGGTGCTTCTGTGAAAATGGATCGCTGTGGGTGTCACACCCTTTGGTCCATCACCTGAAAGGCTGGGGAGGGTCCTGTAAAACGGCAGGGGAAGAAGCAGCCCCACCTTCCCATACAGAGGATTCTGAAATTATATGGGAGGGAGGAAATCACAGTCTCTGGATGAAACAATTTTGAACTCAGGTCTGCTGTTAACTCCAAGTCCAGTCTCCATCAGCAGGAGTCATGGCCAGTCCTCATAGTTATGACCAGGACTTCCTGCATCAAGCTTTGAGGCTCTGGGGCACAGTGGGAGTTGAGGCACCTCCCCTAGTCCTTTCCAGCTTTGTTTTTCGTGATGATGAATGTTTTCTTGATCTGCAGTGCTACCTGCCTGAGCTGAGAAGCATCAGAGAGCAGCCAACAGTGGGGAAGTGTCTCATTAGAGATACCAGAAGAGTGACACATCCCCTGAAATGCAATAAACATTACAGGCAGCTGTTTGGGGCAATTTCAATGATTTAGTGCAGGGCTGTGACCCAGGGAATGCTCTTCTGGCCAGCTAAGGGACTTCGGCCTGCTCATTGTGTTGCGTTCTTCATGTGACATTGTTGCTTGCAAAAATAAATGGAGACAGTTCTTCCCTCTGCCAGAGAGCAGAGGTAATACCAACTCCACATCTTCCATGCCCAAGTTTTTCATGGCTTTTAGAGAGTGGTTAGCTGTGCTCATTCATTTTTGGTGGGTTTTGTATCTGGCAAATCATCAGCTGGTGTAAAATATCGACATTTTAGCTGGACTATGTTACAAAGGCTTTGCAGGAAGTTTTACTGGGAAACTGGCTTCATTGCTGTTACAAGATAAAGGTATCAGTGTGCCCTCCCTTATCCAGAGTCCCTTGTACTCATAACAGGGTCGTGTCCTCTGACATGTCTTAATTATGTGGAAATTCCCCAGCCTCCCTTCAAATATTTATCTCCTGTGTGCAAGTGAGTCGTGTTTTTTCCATATTAATATAGATCCGTAGCCTCTGGCCAGATGCTCACCTCAGATACAGGGGGCGCAATGAAATTAGTGTTGGTATTTCAGAGATTAAAAGTCAACTGAGACAGAACAATGCTGGATAGTCTCAGGTGAGGTTTTATGTGAGGTTGAAGCATCTTTTTTTGCTCACAGAAGGAATGCCTTTAATTCCAGTGAAATCTTTAACTCCTCTCAGGCAGGATGCCCCTTCCAGTCTGACCTATGATACTGTTAATAACCATCCAAGGATTTCCACTTTATCTAAGAAAATGCATAATCAGAGGGGAGGAGAAGGGAAAGAAATCCGTGCCTACACTTGACTCATACAAAGTCTATTTTTATCTTATTCAATCAGGAACAATCAGGCGCAGAGAGGAGACGCAGATGAATTTGCATGATCAGACTTCTGTGTCTGAAATGTTAATTAAAAGTTATTTTAAATTTGCCTACTGTGCAGAACTTGTTTTTATAGTAGCCCGTGTAAAGGAAATATTATTTCACAGGGCTAAAGTGCTCATGATTACTTGAGCTTGTGGATTCTTGGGAAAACCTGCCTGGCTGGCAATCAACCTCTCCTTAAAAAAAAAAAAAAAAAAAAAAAAAAAGGGGGGGTTGGAGGGGTATGATGTGGAAAGAAAGGAAAAAAAGAAACTGGGCTATTCAAGTTCTTTAAGCTCCTGAGCCTTAGGAGGTCTTATTTAAAGCTACTTTAAAATTTGCCCTTTGGCACTGCTTTGAGAATCTCCTCTTCCAAAGCTGAATCCAGAGGAGTCTGTTTTAAAGAGGCAGCTCTAGGACCGCATTCCCTTCCCCGCTGTGCTGCCTTGCTGGCTGATCCTGACACTGACTCCAGTTAGGAACAGCTGCAAAGGTTTAGGACTGGACTATCAGGCATGTGTGGGTGCTTCCCAGC